GAGGAGGAAGGAGGAAGGAGGAAGGAGGAGGTTGAGGAGGAGGAGCAGGAGGAGGAGGAGGGAGGAGGGAGGAGAAGGAGGAGGAGGAGGAGGAGGAGGAGGAGGAAGGAGGAAGGAGGAAGGAGGAGGAATGGGGGAGGAGGAAGGGGGAGGAGGAAGCGCCTCCCTCCACCTCTTCTGCCTTCGCCTCAGCCTCGAGGCCGCGGTAGACGCCTGCGCAGGCCACCCCGCTGGAAGGATTGGCGGCGCTCAGAGCTCGGATGGTCGAGAAGGGCGCGGCAAGCCTACGGTCGGGAACTTTGGGATAGCGTGTCGCTCCGCCAGTTCTAGCCTACCACGCTTCGGTACGACACGCTATCCACATCCCGGACCTCAGGCGTTCGTGTGCTGAACTTTCCCGAGCCTCCCGCCCCGCGGAGCGAAGCGACGCGCCATCCGCTTGTATGGCACAGGGGCCGCGGCGGCGGCACGCTCCCGACAGTCGTGGGGGGGATCTGCTGTGCTGCTGCTGGTTGGGCCCACGGCCGCCAGAGGAGCGGCAACAAAAGCCCCCTGCCTCGCCCGTGTGCATTTCCTTGGCATCGCTCGGACGTGTGCATTTATCCTTCGGCGAGGACCATCGAGGAGCATCCTTGATCATTGTGGCGAAAAAACCTCGCGCGAAACCGAAAAAAACACAGGGAATGGACGTCCGAGCGATGCCCAGTCTCTACCCGCCCCTCGCTGGGGCGCGCGAGGCTCCGACGGCCCGAGCCTGGAGCACGCGCGGGCGCTCTTCGCCCCGCTCGGGGTGGACTGCGTGGAGCTCGAGCTGCAGGAGGACCTCTCCGGCAGCTGCCGGCCGCCGCTGCCGCTCTGGCGCCTCATTTTTGTGTGTGGGGGCGGGCGTCTTGGCCCGCTCTCATTTTGAGTCGGTCCTGTCCTTCTACAGGAGCAACATTCATCGACTAGACGTAAGAGTGACCTTTCGCCGGAGTGACCTTTGGTGCGGGCACAGATGGGCCCTCAGATGGCTGAAAACGAAGCAGTAGCAGCGGCTTGCGCGCCCAGGTTTGGTCTCCCCGCGGCCCCCCAAAAGCCGCGCACCAAAGGTCACTCTTACCCAGGGTCACTCCTGCGTGTAGCCGAATTCAAAGCAAATCGTCCAAAAATAGTCTGGGGACGATTTTCTGATTATGTTGGACTACTTTTTAAGACTATTTTTTGTTATGCATCCAAAATCCGCCTGTAGGAATACGTGCCCGACCTAACGCTATCAAGTCAGCGGCACCGTCACGGGTACTCACTGACGGGCACCTCGAAATTTTGCCGCAAGTTGCCACTTTTGGGCTTCTTGCTGGCATTGCAGCGTTGCCCACATCGGGAAGGGTTGGGTTCGCGGGGCCACTGGCCAAAGTACCTGTTAGTGGAGTCCCCGTCATAGGGGCGCTGACCAATCGATGGCGAAAAAACGCCACAAACATAAGTTTATGGCGCTCCCCGCGGGTTTCTTGGATCCACGCTGGGCCCCCTCCGGCGGCGTCTCCGGGGGGGCCAGGCCAGATCTAAGAAATCCGGCGGAGCGCCCAAAAATTCTGTTTATGGCATTTGTTCTTCTTCTGTGCAGGTCCCCAGGGCCCTCACATATCCATCTGGCTCGACACATTGCGCAGAAAGGTGGGATCTCGGCTCGGGTCGTGATTTTTCGTGATGCTGTCCTTTGCGCTACGTCGGATCTCAGGGACGCAAGCGGGATCGCAGGGAAAAGGGTACGCAGGAGATATCTATACACTACCACCGTGTCTGGCCAGGGCCATCCGGTGCCCCTGCATGGTGCATACGCCTCCTGGCCGAAGCCAGGAGGGTCAATGCACCATCGTGGGGCCCAGGACGGCCCTCGCCAGGGTAGTGGCGTATAGATGTCGTCTGCGAAAAGGGGTCCCCAGGTTTTTCGCTGTGTGTGCTCCCGGGGCCTTCGGCGGGCCCCTGGAGGAGGGAGGAGGAGGGAGGAGGAGGGAAGGTCTGGAACGGGCCCGGGGGGAAGAGCTGGTCTGGGGGGGGGGAAGGCCCTGGTATCCAGGTCCCTCGTCCCTGAGGCCCCGCCTGTGTCACAACAGCTCCGTCAGGCCTGTAGTCGTAAGTCGGGCATGTCCCTCTACAGGAGGAGTATCCCCAACTAGTCAAAAGACGGTACGGGGACGATTTTTCTATGATGTCTCGGCTTTTTTTGGTCTACTGTCTTACATCTTTCTTCCAACATCCGCCCGTAGGAGGACATGCCCGACCCGGCGCCTGTGTCAGGCCAACTCGGGCAGGCCCGCAGTCGCTCTGTTCCCTGCCCAGCAGGACCCGCCACGCACGGGGCGGGGGCGCAGGTCGGGCCGCCCGCTCTGCGGCGCCGCCGTGCCCCCGGGGCACGCCAGGGGAGGACGCGGCCCCGAGGGCGGACGCGGCCCTGACCTTCCAGGAGGGCTAAACATAGCAGCAGCACCCCCGGCTGAAAGACCCATCCCAGAGCTATTCTGCGTCCTGGTTTTGGGCTGTTTCGCTCAGCCTTTCAGGTTTTTAGGCCTCCCGTGCTAAAAAATAGCTCTCTGGAAGGTCAGGGGGGGCGGGGCCTCCTCCGAAGGCTCGGAGGTCCCCCGGAGGCACGGGCGCCTCCTCGGGAGGCGCGAGGGGGCCTCGTGGGGGGCCTCGGGAGGCGCGAGGGGGCCCGTGCTAAAAAATAGCTCTCTGGAAGGTCAGGGGAGTGAAGCGTCGGCGGCGATGGGTCCCGCGGCCCCGTGGCCACGGCGTGGGGGGGCCGCCGCAGGGCCGGGGCGCGCGCGGACCGGGCGGCATCCTGGCCGCCTCTTTTTGAGGTCTCCCGGGGTGGCGCTTCGGGGGCCGCTTTGGAGGCCTCTCGCCTGGCATCGCGCGGACGTGTGCATTCTTTCTCGGCGAGGGCCCTCGAGGAGCATCCTGGACCATCGAGGAAAAAAACACGCACGAAGCCGAAGAATGCACGGGAAATGGACGTCCGAGCGACGGCAAGCTCGGAGGCCGCTCGGTTGCCTTGCAGGTCCCGCCTCCCGTCCGTTGGTCCTTCTGGGTGCCGTCTCGGGGGCCTCGGGGCCGTGCTGGGGCTCCCTTGGGGGCCTCTCTGTCCGTCTGGGACACTGCCAAGAGGGGACGGGAGAGCAGCGTCGCGAGACTCACGCGGGAGACCTCGCGCAACCGGGCCGCCCCCCCAGGGCCCACAGGAGAGCGCTGCTTCCATTCCCAGGCGGCAGCGGGCCTGACCGCGGGGGGGAGGGGTGGGGCGGCAGCGTCACGTGTCGCGCCGGCACCGCCGGGGAATGCCCAAGAGCAGCCCGTGGCCGCCGAGGCGTCAGCACGCATCGTGGCATTACCTGGGGGGGGGCGGGGCGATCGCGAACGACAGAGAGACGCATTCCAAGATGGGCTAAGGGTCATCGAAAAGAAAGATCCCCTAACCCTAGTAACCCAGTGAAGACGGGGCCGCACTGAGGTCCCCGTCCCTGCATTAGGGATCGTGCATCTGGACGGTTTGGCTCGATGCATCTGCAGAACAGATCCCGTGTCCCTAATGTGTTGGGCCCACCTAACTTCAAGGGTGCCCTCGAGGGCGCGAAGTTACTCGCGCTTCGCGCTTCGCGGTTCGGCTCCGATTTCTCCCCCTCCTCCTCTTCCCCCCTGGGAGGCGGCGCGAGAGCGCGAAGTTATTCGCACTTCGCGCTTCGCGCAGCGCGAAGCGCGAAGGTGGGAGCCCTTGTAACTTGGGTCCCCTCCCAAAGGGTTTGGGGTCCTTCTCTGGTCAAGCGAAGGGGTCCCCAAGCGCCCCCCAGGACGGCCCCCTTGGGGACCCTCTGGAGCATGCTGGAGGCCCGCGGCCCCGGGGCACGGCCGCGTGGGGCGCCCGGGAGCGCCCGGAGGTGCCCCAAACGCAGCGCCCAAGGGAGCGCCCGACAGCGCCTGGAGTTCGGGTGCGTGGGCCCCTAAACAAGGGCGCCCTCGAGGGCGCGAAGGTGTTCGCGCTTCGCGCTTCGCGCTTCGGCTCCGATGCCTCCTCAACCTCCACTTCTCCCCGGGGAGGCGGCGCGAGAGCGCGAAGTTATTCGCACTTCGCGCTTCGCGCAGCGCGAAGCGCGAAGTTGGGAGCCCTTGCTAAAGACTCGTCGGCGAGCGGGGGGGGAAGTGAGAAGGAGAAGGCCTTTCCAGAAGGCGGCGGGGCTTCTCGGAAGCCCTCATGCCTTCTGAGAGGTTTTCTCTGTCGTCGGGGAAGGCCCCGAAAACTTTCAGGAGGCCGGGGGACCTCCGAGACTTCTGAGAAGGCCCGCCCCTTCTCACTTCCCCCCCTCGCTCGCCGCCGAGACTCCACTCTTGGAGCCGCCTGGGAGGTGACCAAGCACTCGTCTGGGCAGCAGAAAGGAGTGACAGGTTCGAGGTTCTGGGTTCGGCATCGTATTTTTTTTGTTTTGTCTTCTTCGCGGCCGTCTTCGGACAATGGGACGGTCAAAAACGGATCCATGGTCAAAAGCTGCACCAGATGGATCCCGGGAGGGGTCCAGGGACCGATTTTGACCGGATTTGGCTTCATCTACCCTTCAGACAAATTTTCTGGGGTACCAACCAGTTCAGACCCCGGTCGCCTCCAAACGAGGACATTCGACTTAGTGCCCAGCGGCACGGTAGCGGATAGACTCACGGCGTAGGTGTTTTAGCTTTCATGTGGTGAGCCGTGATCATACGGATTGTTGATCGATTCCTCCTGCTTGCGCCCATTCTCCTGTCTGAGGCGGGAATTGATCCATATCCAGCGCCTGGGGGGTCGGTTTTCTGAGCCTCGGCAGGCGGTGGATATGGACATATTCGGGCCCCCGGGGGCCCGAATATGTCCATATCCACCGCCCGCTGGGGCACCAGGACGTCGGTTCCCAGGCGGTGGATATGGATAAATCCCCGCCTCGCATCCCGCGCCTCCTTTTTCTCCCTTCCGACTTCTCCTTGTCTCTTCGCAGGCCGAGACCGCCAAGCTGTTCCTCAACGCCTGGAGGTACGTGAACTTCGCCACAGCGAACCAATTCTACCAGATCGCCACCTCGAAGGAAGCAAAATGGGAGTCACAATCTCCCCCCACCCACGTCACTGCTTCCCTTTCGATGCCGCCCTCTAACACCACCTGGAATGAGTCTCTTGTCTTGTTAGAATCCAGCCCCCTGGCGACCGCATAGACCGTGGAGCCCGCAGGGACTCCCCTTGGCCGACCAGGCGACTCAGTTGTATACTCCCAGCCCCTCCCAGTCATCCGCCCTCCCTCCCTCCAGACTCAGACTCTGGCCCGCCTCCCCGCCGTTCACCCTCTCTTCCTGCTCGTCGTTCTTCTCCTCCTCCTCCTGCTCCTCCTCCTCCTCCTCCTCCTCCTCCTCCTCCTCCTCCTCTTTCATCCTCGTGGTTCACGATTTCAGTGGCAGTGGCGTCCTGCCCGCAGGCTCGCGGAAGTTACAGCTGCAGCACGTAAGCTGCGAGTCTGACGCGGGTCTCCGGGTGTGGCGGAGCCCAGGCGAGCGACGCGAGCAAACGGGGCCGTCTTCGCCGAAGCTCGTGTGCAAGCTGCCCGCGCAGGGTCGCGCGTGAACCCCCTCGTCTCCACGGTGGCGTGGGGCCCTCGTGCGCCCCCGCGTGAGTTCGCTATGCTATCTCGCGTGAGGCCCGTGCCTGATCGTTGCCTGGCTGTGACAGGGCTCAGGAGGGAAAGAGACACAGGCACCATGAACTGTCGACTCCCTCTAGCAGAGATGGAGACATGTGGGTGGGAAGTGGGGGGGGGGAAGGCAGACGAAAGCCCAGAAACCAGGTGAACCCGTGGGGGGTCCTGGGGTGTGGGGGGTCTGTTTCTTTACGTGCGTCCCTGGGCCCCTTCCAAAGCCCGGGTGCCCGCGATCGGCCCGCCCGCCTGCCTGCGAAGGGCCTCGACTTCGGGCGCATCCGCGCGGCCATCACGCACAGCTACCCGCGCGCCTCCGGCTTCCCCCGCCCGGGCTTCACCGCGGGGCCGCGCGCCCGCCCCCGGCCCGCGCCTGCCGGGAAGGCACGCTGGGAGGCGGGAGGGGGAGGAGAGAGGGAGCAGGGCAGAGGGAGGGGGGAGGATCAGGGTGAGGAGGAAGGAGGAGGAGGAGGAGGAGGAGGCGGAGGAGGAGGAGGAGGAGGAGGAGGAGGAGGAGGAGGAGGAGGAGGAGGAGGAGGAGGAGGAGGAGGAGGAGGAGGAGGAGGAGGAGGAGGAGGGAGGAGGGAGGGAGGGAGGGAGGAGGGGGAGGGAGGGAGGGAGGGAGGGAGGGAGGGAGGGAGGGAGGGAGGGAGGGAGGGAGGGAGGGAGGGAGGGAGGGAGGGAGGGAGGGAGGGAGGGAGGGAGGGAGGGAGGGAGGGAGGGAGGGAGGGAGGGAGGGAGGGAGGGAGGGAGGGAGGGAGGGAGGGAGGAGGGAGGGAGGGAGGGAGGGGGGAGGGAGGGGAGGGAGGGAGGGAGGGAGGGAGGAGGAGAGGAGGGAGGGGAGGAGGAGGAGGAGGAGGAGGAGGAGGAGGAGGAGGAGGAGGAGGAGGAGGAGGAGGAGGAGGAGGAGGAGGAGGAGGAGGAGGAGGAGGAGGAGGGGGAGGGGGAGGAGGGGAGGAGGAGGAGGAGGAGGAGGAGGAGGAGGAGGAGGAGGAGGAGGAGGAGGAGGAGGGGAGGAGGAGGAGGAGGAGGAGGAGGAGGAGGAGGAGGAGAGGAGGAGGGGAGGAGAGGAGGAGGAGGAGGAGGAGGAGGAGGAGGAGGAGGAGGGGGGAGAGAGGGAGGATGGCTGTGAGTGGGGGAGTAAGGGGAAGGTGATCAGGGTGTGGAGGAGGAGGAGGAGGAGGAGGAGGAGGAGGAGGAGGAGGAGGAGGAGGAGGAGGAGAACGACGATGATGAGAAGGTGGAGGAGGAGGAGCAGGAGCACGAAGAGGAATGGAAGGCGAAAGTGAAGTCGGGAGAATGGTGCGAGGGCGGCAAGGGAGGATACGGATACGAACGCGGATGAGCCCGCGACACAGCTCCACAGGGGAGCTGCTGCCGGGGGTGTGCAGGCTACCAAAGTAGCCTGCAGACCGAAGCAGGCTTAAGTCGGGCGTGTCCCTCTACAGGAGGAACATCCAAACATTGCAAAACATTGTACGGGGACGATTTTTTTTTACTATTTGGTTTTTTTTGGTGTGTGTGTGTGTGTGTGTGTCTGCGTGTGTGTGTGTGTGTGTGTGTGTGTACTTTTGCTCCTCTTATTCTCTGCGACTCTCCTTCCGCGGTCTCGGCAGTGTTTCGGCCCAGTGGCCCGCTGCTGCAGCGCGCCGTCCAGCTGTTGCTGGAGGCGGACGGTGCTGTGCTCTACCAGGGTCTGCGAGCCGCGCTCTTCGAGCGGCTCGCTGGCCGCCCGCTGCCCTTCGACGGACCAGGAGGCCCCAGCGTTCGGGTCCTCCTGGCCGTCCAGGCGGCGGGCTTCGGGGCAGCGGCCGAGTGCCCTGCTCTCGAGGCTCCCGTCGCCTGCCCCACCGTTTGCCTCGGGCGGGCGGTGGACTTGAGCGACGGGGTCTCTCCTCTGCTGCCCGCGACGGCGCGGCCTCGAGCCCTGCCTGCTTCGTCTGCTGCCTGGTCTTCTGCAGTCGGGGCGGGCAGCTGGCTCCTGCAGGCCCCGACTTCGCGCGGTGACCGCAGGGTCCCGCTCGCAGTGGCTCTTCGGGCCCTGCGTGGTGCGGCGGCTCCCTCGGCCCCGCTCGCGGCGGCTCGTCGGGCTCTGCGTTTCCGGCGCTGGCTCCTGGGCCCTGTCGTCTAGGTCCGGCTGCCGATGGCGCCTGCCTCGCCTTCGCCGGTGCAGAACTCCTCTCCTTCCTCTCCTTCCGCCTTCTCCCCCCTGGCCTCTGGGGCTGCGGAGCAGGAGGTTCATCTGAGGAGGGGAGTAGGAGGAGGAGCTCACACGCCTATGCGCCACGCCCGGCACCGTGGCGCAGTGCGAGCCCTCGCAGCAGAGATTCAGCCGCCAGGCCTCCGCCGCGCGACGCAGACTCTCCGCCGCCGCGACGCCGTGTCTCAGCCGCCGCGACAGAGACGCCGTCTGCCGCCTTCCCTCGCGAAGCGACGTCCGGCGGTGCACGCTTGGCGACGGGCGCAGAGGTCCACGCGGCGAAGTTAACAGCGCTCGTGATTGAAGGGTCGGAGCGGGTGGGCCCTATTGACCCCCACCTCCTCTCTGCTCCCTCTCCTCCTGTCGCCTCCTGGCTCAACGCTGCGGCCTGGTGGGGGGTCCCGCCTCAGGACCCAGCTTCCGCGCACTTGTCTGCTTGCGCGGGCTTGTGCGCCGACGCCGCTACGGCCCCGCCACGCGCGCTGTGCGGGCCGCTGTCCTTCGGCCCCGGTTGCGCGCCGCCCTCTCTTGCCGTCGGGCAGGTGGGCCCGCCCCCAGGTCTCGCCAGTTTGGAGGCTGGCGATCGCGCGCCACCCTCGGCCCTTACGCACCTCGTCGCCGCCGCGAATGGGCGCGCGGGCCCGCCCCTGGGCTTCGCTAACGCGGTGGCGGGTGCTCGGATGTCGCCGTCGCGTCTTCTATGCGCGACCGTCGCCGCCGTTGAGGCTCCGCCGCTTGGGAATGGGAGTCGGAGTCGTCCTCCACAGTGGCTCGACGCTACTGCCTGGGGGGGTACCCCACATCAGGGCCCGACCTCCGAGTACCCGTCTGCTGACGCGGGCTTGTGTGCTGACGCCTGCGCGGTCCGGCCGCGCGCGTTTGGCGGGTTGTCGCCCTTCGATTCCGCCTGCGCGTTGCCTTCTCTCCAGTCGTCAGACAGGGGGTGCCCCCTCCAGGTCTCGCTGCGTGGGAGGCTGGTGGCCCGCGCGCGCTCGCATGGAACGCGTCGCGGGCCAGGTTCCCGGGGGGCCTCGTCACGTCCTTCCGAGCCTGGCGCCCCGAGCTGGCAGGCGCCGCTGTTGCGCCCTGCCTCGATGCTCTTGCCGCGGGCGACAAAATGTGGCCGCAGAGGTCGCCCGCGCGCGGGTCACGATGGGGGTTCCCTCCGCCGCGCCGGCGCCCCCCCGGGTGCCGCGAGCAGGCGGTGCGCCGCTGTCCCCCTTCTGGGGGGAATTTCGTCGAGATGCCGAACGTCGACGGTCGCGCGGGCTTCCAGAAGCTCTCGTGGCGCGGGTCCGCGCCGCGCCCCGGCGACCCCTGTCGCCGCGATCAATCAGGAAGTCTTCGGGGCGCGCGACCGCTGCCATCCGCGGGTGGGCTCGAGTCAGCACCCGGGGAAGCGCGCCCGAGGCGCGGCCCGCAAGGTCGTCGTGGGGGCCGAGGTCGAAGGGCGAATCGGGCTCGTGCGCGCTCCCTTCGTTCGCACGGTTGCCCTCTGCAGGCTGACTTTAATCCAAGTGTACCTTGGCTCCTCGACGCGTGCCCTGATGGCGGTTCGCGCTGGCTGCTGGGTGCGGGTGTTTCTGTTCCGCCGTCCTATGCTCTCCCTCGTCGCGCGCGTCTACACGTTCCTGTCGCGGATTGCGTTTGATCTCGCGGCAAATCGCGGCGCGCCTCGGCAGCTGCCGGGGCGCGGTGCCTGACGACTCCCCCGCGGCGTGAGCGCGCCGTGTCTGCTCGCCCCTGGCTTCCGAGTCGGATTTCGATTCCGAGGGCCCCGCTCTGGCCCGCGGCTTCTCGGCGGCTCGGATCTCGGACGAAGCCTTGCGCAGGGCCGCCCGAGCTGCTCAAGTGGGTGGGGCGGCCGAGCAGGCCGCGACCGCAGAGGCTGCTTCTCGCGAGCGGCCCCCTCGGTCTCCAGGTGCCAACTCTTGGGTGGATGATCTTCGGGGTGAGGCTCTGGGGGCTCGGCGGGGCGGTGGAGCAGGCGAGGCCCTGCTGACTCCGGAGACCGAGGCGAGACCCCCGCGCCGATCGGCACGCCCCAGTCCAGCGATGCTCGGGGACAAGGGCCACGCCGCGGGCGTCTCGAAGGCCTCAGCGGCCGCTATACAGGCGATCCCAGACGCCTCTCTCGACGGGCGCGCGCGCCTCTAGCGATGGCGCTACGCCGCCGCAGGGCGGAGCGCGCGCCGTCGAGGGGGCATCGTCGCGGGTCTGCTGCTGCGAGTCTCACCTGTTAGTTAGACTGTGTTCTTCGACGCCAGCTCCCACCGATCCGCTCGCCCGTTTCGGGTCTAGCGGCTTCCGTGCTCGGTGGAGCCGCGTGCTTTTGGCGTTGGGCGTCCCGCTCGCCAAAGCCGCCGCTGGACTGAACTTGGCTCCTGGTCGTCTTCGAGGGTCAGGTGCTATTGGTTTTTACATGGCTACAGAAGACGTCCCTTGCGTCTTCTGGTGAGGTAGGTGGCGCCGAGCGTCGCGTGCTGAGCGCTACCTTCAAGCTGCCGCTGCTTCGACGTCGTCTCTTGCCGAGGCCTCCAGGGCTCAGGTGCTGTTCTTCACCTCTGGCAGCAGTCGCTTGCTTGCCTCTGTTCTGCTTGCTGGGTCGTCAGCTAGGTCAGTTCAACTCGCGGCCGCCCGTCATAAACTTGTAATCGAGGGCTTTGAGCATGGGCATTGCTGCGCGGACTTTCGGCGGCCAGGGGTTATCCTCCTGAGCGCGGCGCGTCGGCCCCCTCGCGCGCGGCGGCAGGTCAGCCCCGCCGCCGCGCGCGAAGGCGCCGGCGCGCGCGCGCGGAGACCGCTCGCCAGGGCGGAGCGAGAGAATGCACCTTTTATTCTCTGCGACTCCCCTTCCGCGGTCTCTGCAGTGTTTCGGCCCTCCTCCCTACCCTCCTGGCTGCGTTGAGACTGAAGGCGCACGCGCTGCGTCGCTGCCCTCTGCGCGCTGCGGGGACTGAGCTGTCTGTCCCCCCGTTGCTTGTATGGCTGCATCGCCTTTCGGCGGCCAGGAGTTTTGCTCCTGAGCGCGGCGCGTCGGCCCCTTCGCGCGCGGCGGCAAGTCTGCCCCGCCGCCTCGCGCGGAGGTGCCGCCACGCGCACGCGAAGACCGCTCGCCAGGGCGGAGCGAGAGAATTAATGTTTTCGTCCAGAATCCGCCTGTAGGGAGACATGCCCGACCTAAAGTAGGCCCGCTGACGGGCCAGCGGCGAACAAACCTCGCGACATGAAAATCGGGCAACAGAGGCGCCGTCCTGGACAGTGGAGTTTTCGGAACACTGAACGTCCTTCATTTAGAGCCTTCGTTCTCCTAGACACTCACAACAGTGGAGACCCATGCCAAGAAACACCCTGCTTGCCTCCAGGGTGCCCTGGGTTTCTTGGGTTTCGATGGTTTTGCGGTGGAGAGCGTGACGTTCCCACGCCAAAAAACAATGGACGTCCTGGGGTCTCAGCGTTGTTTCTTTGTGTGGAAGTTTTCTTGTGGTCCAGCCCCTATTGTATGACAGACCTCCCCCTCCCAGATCAAGCAGAAACGCTAACCTGGGGAGGGCATGCTTAAGGGCTGGCACTGGCGGGGTGCTTGATGGCCCACGGGCCCGCAGTTTCACCGCCCCCGTGAGGGAAACGGCTGCCCCGCGGACCGTGATGGGCGCTCCCACCCATGTGACCCAGCAGGCTTGTCGCTCAGGGGACGGAATTGACTGTTTGGGGGGCGGGGGTTGGCTGACCAAGATACTCAGGCATGCCGTGCTTACCACATGGCGGGCGCATTCTCCTTGTTTCTCCGCTTCGCCGTTTTTTGTTACCGTATTTTTCCGCTACGCCCGCCAGGTAAATTCGCTCCTTACCGCTCCATCTGGTCGATTTTTTTTGCCTGCCATAACGCTTCGTGCCAGCACGCCAAGTCCGAGCATCGTCAAAAAGGAAGAGGAGGAGAAACCCTGCCTATTTCAGTTTTTTTTATTCAGACGACCCCGAACGGTCCCTCCCACCAGCCAGGGCATCTTACCTTCGGCTCTTTGGAGAGGGGAGGTAGTGGCACATCAGGGTCAGCAGCGAGGGGGGATATCACCTGATCTTTGACTCTGCCGCGCCAGCTTGCCTGCACACACGCAGTAGTGTGCCAGTTTCAGAATCGATCCAATAAGACAGTTGCGCCACACATTGGTGCCAGACAGGCCCGCGTGTGCAAATTGTGCCAGCCTCACGATGCATAAGCTGCTTAGTTTCGTTACTTATGCTGGTGCGACAGAGGGTGAGGATTGATGGACGGGATGTGGACAATCAAGCCCTCGTTTCATATGCCCTTTCACCTCTGCATGCGCACACTGCGGCGTTGCACGTTCCGCCGCCAGCATCATTCCAGGAGGCGGAGGTGGTGGTACTGAGGGTTGTAGCTACTTTAACCCTCGGTGGGGGCAATCTCGGAGAATAGGTTGGCGGACGCTTCTGCCCAACGGAGTTTTCGCATCGCAGCTTCCTCTAGCACCGTATGTTTTTCATCCTTTCCATCTTCCTCGTCATCGTCGTCATCATCATCACCACCAGCATCATCTTCATCATCTTCCTCATGTCCGTCTTCGTCGCTATCCGCATATATGGCCCCAGTGGGTATCAGTTTCCGCGCGCTCGTTTTTTGTGCCTAGGGATGTGGAGGTGGTGGATTGATTGGAGACGATCGGATGATGTTTGCCACGGTGGTGACATAGGCTCGTCGATTGCAGCTGTCACCGATGACACTTCCTGCAATCACATAGTTTTCGCCAGAGCTTCCAGCAACGTCCGAATGCCAGCCATAGAGAGCAGGCCACAGAGCTCTTCTTCCTTACGGACAGTGCCGTTTCAAGCAGCGCATCGTTTCATATGCTCCAGTGCATACCCTCGGTGAGAGTCCTTGCATATAATGGCCAGTGGAGGCGAGATATATGATGGGACGGGTTGGGAGGATGGGGACTCCCTTGTCCTTGTCGACGCTTGCAGATATGATATTATTTGCCCTCGCGGGGTCTCCAGTTATTCACTTCTCTTTGCACCTCCTCCACCGCATAGCTCTGCACTCCGGCGGTTTTCATTGATTGTCCATGCAATCAGAAGAACGCACCTAGAGTCCGCCGAACGCACAAAACGAAGGAGGAAGAATCAGGGGAGGGGGATATGAAAGAGCCACTGTAAAGGGGGAAGGGGAGGGTGTGGAGGAGGAGGAGGAGGAGGAGGAGGAGGAGGAGGAGGAGGAGGAGGAGGAGGCGGAGGAGGAGGAGGAGGAGGAGGAGGAGGAGGAGGAGGAGGAGGAGGAGGAGGAGGAGGAGGAGGCGGAGGAGGAGGAGGAGGAGGAGGAGGAGGAGGAGGGGGAGGAGAGCGACTTCTCGGCCCTTCGGGGCCTCGGGGAGGGGGCGGGGGGGGGCGAGGAGCTAGCGCGGGACCGCACCCCCCCCCCCCGGCGGGGTGCCTCGCCCCCTGCCCCCGCCCGCAGGCCGTGCCTGTTCAAGGACACGATGCAGCTGGCGGCCTGCTGCCGGCACACGTTCACCCTGGGCCGCGGGCTCGGTGGCTCGCGCATCGGGCACCAAGCGCGTGTCTCAAGGGGCCCAAGGACACAAATAAATACACACTAATAAAAAGATTCCCCATATTTTCCTATATTTTCAGGGTTTCTGTCTTCCCCCCCACTTCCCATATTTCCTCATATTTTCTGTGGAATCGACGATTAATTGTGTCTGTGTATTTTTTTCCTCCTGAGTGTCGTCCCTCGAAGGAGGAAATTTCACACGGCATGAGCATAGACTTTTGGCGCTCCGCGCGGACGTCTTGGATCCGCGCCCGGCCCCCCCGTGGCGGCGCCTCCGACGCCGCCCCTGGCGCGCTCCGCGCGCCAGGGAGGGGGGGGTCCAGCGCGGGTCCAAGAAGTCCGCGCGGAGCGCCAGCAGTTTATGTTCGTGTGGGTTTTGCTTCTTCTAGAATTGAATCGCCAAGCGCGCTTCGCTCCACGACTCGCAGAGAGCCTCCTCGCAAACGTCCGAAAAACACATGTCTGCATCGACGTAGCGTATCGGAGATCCCCCTACGGCGGATCCAGGCCATTTGCGAGGAGCTACTTTGCAAGTAGTGGAACGTGCTAGTCTAGAATTTGGGTACTTTTGGGGCTTTGTTGGGGCATTGCGCAGCCTCCTGGGGACATCCTGGGGCCGCCTTTGGGTTATGTTCGGCAATGTCTGGGTCACCTTTGGGCCTCTGGGGGCCATCTTGGAGACTTTTTGGGGGCATCTTGGGATCACCTCGGGGCTGACTCGAGGGCGTATTGGGCCATACCAAATCGGGCGGTGTTGGTGGCATCTTGGGGCCTCCGGAGGCCACCTGGGGGCCATCGCGGGCAATCTTGGAGTCATCTTGGGGCCGTTGGGGGCCATCATGAAGCCATCTTGGAGCGTATTGGCAGCAACACGCAGGACGAACAGAAAGCACCGAAGCATTCGTTCCCCCCCCTCCCATCTACCGTCACACGTTTGCTCAATAGGAGCATCTTGGGTCCCTCAGGGTAGGCTCACGGCTTCTTGGGCTGTTGCGGGGCCTACTTCTTTGGACGCCAGCATCGCAGAGCGGCTTTCGCTCGGCAAACAATAGGATGGGCCCAGAGTGTCCCGGATCATTTCGTTCTGGATTTCGAGTTGAATTTCGTGCGGATTTTTTTTGCCAGGAATGAAGACTAAAACACATCCACGCGAAATTCACTTCGTTTTTCGCTCGCCGCTTCGGGCAAAAATCCACGCAGACATCCACGCAGAAATCCGCTGCAGCACGTCTGCAAGGCCGGTGCAATGATACACTTCATGCGATATTTGGCGATATTGGGCCCTTTGGGGGCTCTTTGTGGGGCCCTCTTGGGGCGTTCTGGAGGTCTCTTGGGCCCTCCTGGCCGCCAAGTGCAGTCCCTATGGAAGCCCACGGGGGCAAGAGGGCTGAGGGCCCCAGCCTGATAGAAGGGAGCAAGGACACAGGACATGGGAGAGACATTAAGCAGGACTTGAGAGACAGTAGAGATGAGAGACAGCCAGCAAGACGCACCAGCAAGACGTCAACGAGCAACCCAACAGGCCTTTTCATCATCGCGCCCCCATTGGGGCTGATGGATCCATCTTGCTTCTAGTCTCATGCTTGCTTGCCAGTTTGTTGTTGTATACGTTTTTCTTCCACGCGCTTTGAATCGTACGGACTAGTCTTGGAGGCTCTTGGCTTTGTGCGGAACGGGGCCTGTTGTGTGGGTTATGCGCTATATGGGACATCGGGATTCGCGACGGAAGGGAGGCGAGAGATGCCCAGGCCATGCCGCAATGTTGGTGAACGAGACGATGCCCGACTGCGTGGTAGAGCAGGCTCTGCAGCGAGGGGGAGCACCCGTGTCAGGAGTGGATCGTGTGTGCTAAGTCGGAGGCAACAGGCCGGGGAGTTCGGGTGAATGTCAGTGGATTGCCCAACAAAGGGTCCCTTTTGAAAAAGGGCCGCCCTCCTTTCTGGCGATCGCAAATGCGGATCAAGGGGGCGTGGATGAGCCACGGGCCCGGGTTCCGCGGGACGCCGCGGATTTCCGCCGCCCAGCGAGGCGGGCACCGCCCGCGCTTTGGGGAGGGCACCTCCCCCGAAGCCCTGGACTTGGCGACCGCGCGCACTAAATCCATGGATCGCTCTTGGGAAGAGGAGGAGGAGGAGGAGGAGGGGTGGAGGAGGAGGAGAAGGAGGAGGAGGAGGAGGAGGAGGAGGAGGAGGGGGTGGAGGAGGAGGAGGAGGAGGAGGACGAGGAGGAGGAGGAGGAGGCGACCACGCAAGAGCGCCATTCCTGGTTTGCGCGCCCAGGCACCAGGCCCCGGGTCCGAGGGACCACGACCGCTGCCGCAAGAAGGGGGGACACCGCGGGGCCCGAGCCCGCCCCTGCGAGGCCCCCTGTCGGCCTCGGGGCGCGGGGACCGCCGCCAAGCCGACTCGAGAGAGCCCCGAAGCGCTTGGGAGGGCTTCGCGGGCTCGCAGGCGGCCCGCGAGGGGTCTCAAACGGCCCAAGAGGCCTCAAAGACGCCCCAAGGGCGCTGCAAGAGGCCCTCCCAGGGCCCCGAGAGGTATAACCCGTCCCATTCCCCCCATATATTTTTACATTTATATTTATGTATACACACATCTATCCATCCATCCATCCATCCATCCATCCATCCATCCATCCATCCATCCATCCATCCATCCATCCTTCCATGCATGCATGCATGCATGCATGCACGCACGCATGCATGCATACTGACACACAGGCACACCTACCTACCTACCTACCTACCTACCTACCTACCTACCTACCTACATTCATACAACCAGACATACATACATACATACAAACATACATACATACCTACATCTATACATACATACGTTCATACACACATACATACTCATACGGCCATACCTACACATACACACATGCAGACACACCTATATATGCATACATAGAAACATACACATGCATGCATGCACGCATGCATACATACCTACCCGCATACATACATACACACATACAGTGCACACAGACGTTGCACACATACACCTACATACCGACATACATACGCACAGCCATACATACCAGCACACATACATACACACATACACAGGTACACACATTCATACACACATCCATACACATACAATTTACATACATACACACACATACCTACCTACCTGCATGCATGCATACACATACACATACATATACATATATATATATATACAGACATCTACATACGTATCTATACACACATTCATACTTTTATATATACGCATGCGTACATACATACATACGTACATACATAAATACATACACACATATTCACAACCATGTATACATATAGACATACATACATGTATGTACAACCATTCACACATATGTACACACATACACACATACATACACACATGCATACATACACACATACATACGTATACTATATACACATACATACATACACACATGCATGCACATATACATACATGTACACACACATACGCATCCACATGCATACATACATACATGCATGCATGCATACATACATACATGCATGCACGCATACATAACTACACGCATACACATAATATACATATATATACATACACACACGCACACACAAACATGTATACATACATACATGCAGACATACATACATTATTGCATGCGTGCATGCATGCACACATACACACATTGATCGACGACGAGAGAGAAAGAGAGAGAGAGAGAGAGAGAGAAAGAGATACTGATAGACAGAGAGAGAGAGAGAGAGAAAGAAAGAGAAACAACAACAATGATTTGGCATGCTCCGCCCACAACAACCCAAGAGGCCTCGATATTGCCTTGAGACATCCCAAGAACCCTGGAGGCGGCCCGAGAGGACCCCAGGAGGGCCCCAAGAGGCGCCCAAGAGAGGGATTTCGAGCTGAGATTTCGAGCCCTCCGCCCCAGGAGGCCCCCACAAGAGGTGCCCAGGAGATCCAAGCCCAAAAAGGCTTCAACAGGTCCAAAAGGCTTCAAAACTGCCTCCAAGACGCCCCTGAGAAGGCGTTCGGGCTCCCCCCGCAAAAAGGTAGCGACGATTCCCGACCCTGCCCCCTGATAGCTCGCCAAGAAGCCTTCCAAAGCACGGATGGCCCTCCCGAAAGGCCCCGCGAGTCTCCACTACGTTCCAGGACGCCTCCTGTTGCTCCAGAGAGTTTTTTTTTTTTTTTTTTTTTTTTTTTTTTTTCTAGCGTGCCAGATCTTTCACTAGCGTGCCAGATCTTTCACCGGCGGAGCCCTTCCGAGAGGTTTCCCAACGTACTTTCGGCGCGCCCCGTCGGCCACCTGTGCGAACCTCAAAAGTGCTCAGGCAAGGATGCTCTTCGTTAATACGGCTCCACTGCTGCTCTAAGATGCCGCCAGGACGGCCCAAGAGTGTCCAAGGTACCTACAGCTTCGCCCACGATGCCTCCGAGACGTCTTTAAGACGGCCCAACGCGATCTCAATGGGGCTCGATATGCCCCACAGACGGCCCAAGTGGCCTGCTGGAAGAGGGCCCGAAGAGGCTAATGCCATTGATCTTCTTCGGTTTCTTGAAATATTCTTTCATTCTCGCCCTCTGCGGCTTCCGACGGCCCAAGACAGCTCCAGAGGCCTCCAATGCAGCCCTGAGACGTACCCTGGAGCCCTCAGAGTGCCCTGAGACGGGCCAAGAGGGTCCCAATCAAGTGTGTTTGTGGGTGTGTGTGGGTGTGTTTGTGTGTGTGTGTGTGTCTGTGTGTGTGTGTGTGTGTGTGTGCGCGCGCGCTGTTTTTTGTTTGTGTGTAGGTTGTGTGTGTGTGTGTGTTGTATGTGTGTGTGTGTGTTGTGTATGTGTGTGTTGTGTTGTGTGAATGCGCGTGTGTATGTGTATGTATGTGTATGTGTGTATGTGTCGTGTGTACTGTGTGTATGCGGGTGTGTATGTGTGTGTGTGTGTGTGTGAACGTGTTTGCGTTTGTGTGTGTGTGTGTGTTTGTGTTGTGTTTGTGTTTGTGTTTGTTTGTTTGTTTGTTTGTTTGTGTGTGTGTCTGTCTGTACCAGGCGGATGCCTAACTTTCTCACTCCACTGAAATCAAGAATGAGTTTCGCGCCGCCTTGCGCTCACACCTTTGGGCGACCACCCCCCCTTGAGCTCACACCCTTGGGCGACCGACACGATAAGTGTGCTCCAAGCGTATGCCTGCCCTTCTCAGTCCAGGGCAATGGCTCGTTTCGCTTCGCCTTGCGCGCACACCCTTTGGGTGACCGACCAGAGAAGTGCAATCGTTTCGTCCGCCGCGCGCGCACACCCTTTGGGCGACCGGCCAGGCACGTGTGCGCCAGGCGCATGCCTACAGTGGAGGCCCGTGCCAGGAAGCACCCTGCTTGCCTCCGGGGTGCCCTGGGTTTCTTGGGTTTCGATGGCTCTGCCACGGACAGCGCGACGTCCCCACACCACGACTCAAATGGACGCCCTGGGGTCTCAGGGTTGGGTTTCTTGTGGAAGGTTTCTTATGGTCGAGCCCCTACCGAAGATGGGAAAGAGCCCCCCGAAGGCAGCCGAAGAGGGCCCCTCCGCAGCCGTTTTGGCCCAAGGCTGGCCCCCCCACAGCGCCGCGCCGCCTCGCCTCCGACCCTGCTTTGTTGGCGGCAGCCTGGCCCCGGGCCGGCCGCCGCATTCCTCGGAGGAGGAGGAGGTACCCCTACGTCTGCCCTTCCCTCGCTCTCCCCTCTTTGTCAAGAGGGGAAAAAACACACAGACTCGTCGATTCCCAGAACATATTCGAGAATATGGGAAGTGGGGGGGGAAGACAGAAACCCAGAAAATATAGGAAACTATTGGGAATGTTTTTATTTGTGTGTATTGATTTGTGTGGTCCAGGGCCCCTTCACTTTGGGCCTCCTGGGTAGCCCTCCTGGGTTTCCTGCGGAAGGTTTCTTGTGGCCGAGCCCCCTGCTGACTGTGTCCCTCTCGGTCCAGGACAGGATGTCGCGTCGCTCGGCCTTGCGCGCAAACACCTCTCGGGCGACCGCCTCTTGCAGCGGCCCCAAGATGACCTGTGCCGCCGTGGACACCATGCCAGCTATCAGTCGGGCGTGTCCCTCCGCAGGAGGAATATTGAGAGACAGTGGCAACATAGTCTCGGGACGACTTTCAATCAGTTTTGATTATTTTTGGGATATGTTTGGACCCCCTTTTTTCCTCCAGAATCCGCCTGTAGGAGGACATGCCCGACCGAATGCCAGCTCGAGCTTGAGCGCGCGCGATGGTTCTAGGGCTTCTGTACATGTGCCAGGCGCACACGGGCACACGGGTGTTGTTCATATGGCCCATCACGACTCCCTCAGAACTGGCTGATTGCGCTGGCGCCGCTCTTCGTTTCCTCTCTCTCCCCTCCTCCGCAGCCACGGTGCTTCGGGCCTTGCTGCTTTTCCTCCCCCTCCCACCCTGCACAAGCGCGGTGGCGGCGCCAGCGCCCTGCGCACGGTCTCTCGCCATCGCAAAGTGTGGTGCCCCCTCCTCTCCCCCAGAAGCAATGCACAGTCGGGGCGCCAATCGATGATGATTCTGCTGATGGCGATGGTGATTACGAGGAGGATGAGGAGGATGAGGAGGAGGAGGAGGAGGAGGAGGAAGAGAAGGAGCGGGAGGAGGAGGAGGAGGAGGAGGAGGAGGTGAAGTTGAAGGTTGAGGAGGAGGAGAATACATTGACGAAGACGAGGAGGCGCAGGGGATGTGCAGTGGCCATCAGCCCCGACAGGCGAAGAAAGCCCTGGGCAAACTGGGGCGGACGCTCGCTGGCACCAGGAGGGCAAGGGGGGATGGGGCTGCGCGCACGCACGAGAACCGCGGCGTTCGAGCGCAGCCCCGCGGAGCGCTCGGTGGCGGGCGTCGTCGGGCCAGACCGCTGGGGTGACGGTGGGCTCTCGGACCGGACGAGAGGGGGGGATATAGGGAAAGGGGGGGGGTTACAACATCTGCTGCGTGCAGCTGGTTTCGGCCCCGCCGCCGGGCCCACTCCTCGATACACGGGCGCCTCCCGGCGCCGGGAGGCGCCGGGGAAAACAGCTGCGTGAGCTGATTCTCAAGCCCCTTTCGCCCGGCCCGATGCTATCGTGTGCTTGTGCGGTATGTGCGATCCGGGCGTGCGCGTCCAAGGGGGGCGCACGCTGCTAGTAGTAAGTCCTGCTGCGTGCCACGATGTTGGACGATGTGCGCGGGGTCAGAGACCAGCGCCCACGGGGACACGGCAGGAGCCCGCCGCGGCACTAGTCGGACGTGGCTTTCCAGCTTTGGCCGCCATCCGTCTCGAGCGGTCGCCTGCGGCGTCCACGAGCGGAGTTGCTGCCGGTTGCGACGTAGGCGCCCGCAAATAAGAAGTCCGAAAGGGCTCCCCAGACTCAGGAGGGAAAGAAACACACAGACACAATTGATTGTCGATTGCCCAGAAAATAGGGGAAAATATGGGAAGTGGGGGGGAGACAAAAACCCAGACAATATTTGAAAATATTGGGAATCCGGTTATTTGTGTGTATTCATTTTTGTGTCCCAGGGCCCCTTCACAGACACCCCGCATGGCAAAGTTCGCGGACGACCGCGCCGCAAGGGATCGCGCCGTGTTGCGAACGAAACCCCCCCACTCCTGCGAAGGGCCTACCGCTGCCCCGTCAAGCTCGAGATTCGGGGGCGAAGGGGGTGTGTTTCGGTGTTTCGTTCCCTCGACCCGGCACGTGCGCTTATTCTGCAAGTAGCGGCATGGCGGGACCGCGGGGCTTGTTGCCACATGCTTCGAAGAAGACAAGCGCATTAAGCACAAATGTTCGGAGGCCTGCGCAGACTTCTTGAATCTGCGCTGGGTTCCCCTGGCACCGCCCCTGGATCCGCCCCTGGGGCGCTCCGCGCGCCAGGGAGGGGGGTCCAGCGCCGATCCAAGAAATCCGCGCGGACCTCCGACAATTTATGGTTGTGCCGTGTTTTGATCCTCGATTGCTGCAGCGGGAGCAGGATTTGTTCAGATGTGACGTTTGTGGTCCTATTCCAGGTTTTTGTGTTGTGCACCGTCGCAAACTGGTTCCATTGGACTGTTCCACCTCGTCGGCCCTCCTTGTCACCTGCGCGGCCGCACACGATAGTTCCATCGATTCTTGCCTCCTGGCGATTCTCCTATAAGTTGGCGCGAATCAAACATGTACTTATGATGTTAAGAGTGGATTGGAATCGCGCACTGAATATGCCCAGCCTTGAGCAGTAAATGCGTGTCGCGAGGAAGATTGACTCAGAACTGTTGAAAGCGAGTGGAGGTACCCGGACACTCAGCGGCTCTTTGTTTTATGACATGGGCCATGGATTTCTCGATCCCTTCTCCTGGGGCCAGCGTTTCATCCTGACTCGTTCGGATAGCTCTGGTGCTCGAAACCAGGCCCCAGAGGCAGAACCCGACGAAAAGAACCGCCCGCCTCGATCGGCATCCCGAGCCGCTGGATGTCGCGCAGGGGTTGGTCCGAGGAGAGCGGGAGTAAAACGACGCGAAGATCGGGACAAAAGCGGATCGGGATAATTCGAAATCTCTGAGAATCGGCGGGTTTGGAGGATGTATTGGGCGCCGCGGCCGCTCCAGAGCGTTCCGGAACGCTCTGAGAGCGCTCCGGAACGCTCTGGAGCGATTTATCCCGATCCTAGCCTTGTTTTAGGGAGGTGCGGCGTGCTTGGCATGGCCTTCAAGCCGGACAGCGACGACCCCCGAGAGTCCCTGGCCTTCAAGCTCCGCCGGCTGCTGCTATGGGAGGGGGCCGAGGCGGCGGCCGCCCCAGTCTCTCTCGAGAGAGAGGGGAGAGAGCGCGCGGCGCCGAGGAGGAGCGAGAGGCACCCCAGGGAAGAGGCCTTGCGCTGCCGTGGGAGGGAGACACCGAGGAGGAGAGAGAGAGAGAGAGAGAGAGAGAGAAAGGAGGGAGACACCGAGGAGGGAGACACCGAGGAGGAGGAGACACCGAGGAGGAGAGAGAGAGAGAGGACACCGAGGGGTGCGGCTCTCCTAGGCCTCTCAGGTGCGGGGTCCGAGCAGATGGGGTCGGAGGATCGCGCCGCATCGCCGACGCATCGGCGACGCGGCTCGATGTGGAGCCCAGCCCGTGCTTCCCTGCGCCGACGGCGCCGATGCATCGCCGACGTCGACGATGCATCGCCGGTGCATCGCCGGTGCATCGCCGACGCATCGCCGACGCATCGCCGATGCATCACCGATGCATCGGCAATGCGTCGCGATCCTTCGACCCCATCTCCTCGGACCCCACCTATGAGGCCTCTAGAGTGGACGAGGAGGAGGAGGAGGAGGAACAGGAGGAGGAGGAGGAACAGGAGGAGGAGGAGGAACAGGAGGAGGGGAGGGGGAGGGGGAGGGGGAGGGGGAGGGGGAGGGAGGAGGAGGAGGAGGAGGAGGAGGAGGAGGAGGAGGAGGAGGAGGAGGAGGAGGAGGAGAGCTATCGATACCGTTACCCGTCCCTCGTCGCCGCGGCTGGATCCGCCTCGAAATCTCGGGCAGAGCGCACCCCAGGAGATGTTTGGGGAGTCAAGGTGCGCATCGGTACCTTTTTCCAGGGGCAATGTTAGGGGGGGATACGCACAGGGGGATGCATCGACCCCCAATCGCCCATTCACCGCCGAGGAAGGGCCCGACAGCCCATCCCGCCGAAGGCTGCGGATTTGCCACTGGGGGCCCATCGCCGATCTACTCTACCCGCGACTCATGGCCGATGCCAGGTCGATGCTTCCCCATCTGAGTTGGTCCTTCCCTAGCTCAGGAGCGAAAGAAGGACGTACACGTACATGAATCCACGCTGGGTTCGAGAGTTTGCACTGCGCGAATGTTCGTGTCACGCGGCTGGTCTCGCGTTTCATGTACATAGCTGGGCGCGTACGTCCTTTGTGGGCTCCCTACTAGCGTTGCCCCTGGCTAATCCTCACCCCGACGCAGTGTGGTCTTCGGTTCACAGCTCGTGCCTCCGGTGGCCCTTGGGACGATCCAGGCAGCCGCAGGCGCCTCTCGTCGAGGCAGTGGCCCGTCGGCCAACCGGCCGCGGCGGGGTCACCCCGCTCGCGCCCGACATCATGGCTGGAGTCCCATGGCGGCGCCTCCGGCGCCGCCCCCAGTAGTACTGGGGGCGGCGCCGGAGGCTATGATGCGATTGTTCGCGCCGTTATTTGGGCTTCGCCCGCCATCTCCGAGGCCTATGATGCGATTGTGAGTTGGTCGTGCATCTGACCCCCCTCGGAAAAAAAAGTTGGGTGCTTTGTTAAGAATCCGAATCGACTGCCGATGTGGCGGTGACGACCAGTACGCTCCGCGCGCCCGGGAGGGGGGTTCAGCGCCGATTCAAGAAATCCTCTCGGACCTTCGAGTAATTGTGTTTATGCTTTTTTTGTCCTTCCGCTACACGGTGGAGGGGGAGTACGAGCCACCCCCCTTCGCAAAGGTGGTGGGGGTGGTCGAGCCGCCTCTGCCACTACCCCTCCACTCAGAAAGTGAATGGCAGGGGGGAGGGGTGTCGAACTCCTGCCGCTTCCGGCAAACGACAACCACGACGGCGACGGCAACAGCGTCGGTGGCGACGCCGGCGGCGCCGCCGTTGGCGACGACGACGACGACGGCCAGGACACGTTCCGTCGGGCGGGCGGGCGGGACGTTACATGCCGCAAACCGTGTCCCACCAACCAGCGAGCGTCGCATGGAGTGTCTCTCCGCCAGACTGAGCGTTCCGCTCGTGGCCGTCGTCGTCGCCGTCGTCGTCGCCGTCGAAGTCGCCGTCGCCGTGGCCGTTTTCGGTTGAGGACACGTTTTCCCCCAGCCTTGTCCCGTCAGCGGCCGAGGGCCACATCTCGTGAGCCGCCCGCCCGAGCGAGCGTCCCGCCCGAGCGAGCGTCGTCCCCGTTCTCGTCGGCGGCTGCGTGGGCTGTCGTGGGCTGCGTTTCCCCCCGCCGTGCCGCGTCGGCGAGCGGGGGCTGCCTGTCCCCCTACAGGGGGATTTTCGACGAAAAATAAAACATACCCCAAAAAATAAGACAAAGATGGTCCCGTAGCCATTTTGGCTCAAGCCATTTTGGCTCAGGACCGTTGGCTCAGGCTTGAAGTGCTTCCTGTTGTTGTCAACGCTGGCGTTCTGCCACTCCCCGCCACATTAAGAACCAGGGAAGCAGTGGCACCGATGGCGCGCTTTGGCAGCAGGGTCCTGCCATCGGCAGTCGCCGCGCTCGCGCTCGCTGGCATCTGCTGGCTTCCTGGCTGCTTCGTGCCGGCGGTGGATCGACGGGCAGTCATCGCTGCTGCAGCCGCCGCCTCCATTGCTGGACAGCAGAAGGAGGCGCGTGCTGCGCAGGCGAGGTTCTCCGTGTTTGGTTTTGACGGGAGCGGGAAGGGCGCCGTGTCGGACGCCTACCAGCAAATCGACCCTGACGCGATCTCGCCCTACTCGCAGTTCAGCAATCCCAAGGATTCTGAGTACACGAACAACAAGGCCCTGCAGGAGAAGCTCTACGAGATGAACAAGGCCAGGGTGATCGAGTACGTGTCGATGCTCGATAAGGTCCCAGAGTTGATTCAGAAGAAGCAGTCCGAGAATCTCAAGAGTCTGCTGACCACCAAGCTCTACAGTCTCCGCGAAAGCATGGAGTACGTGACCACCAAGGGTACGCCGTTCTACCGCAAGAATGACGCAGCAGGCATGAAGGAGGCCGACATCTTCTTCCAGGATCTGGCTGACCTCGGCGTGGCGGGCCGGGAGAGGAACTGGGGCTGGGCGACCGAGTCGTACGATAAGTCCAAGGGCAGCTTCAAGGCGTGGATGGACGTGGTGGGGCTCTGAGCTGCCAGGGCGTGCTTCCGGGTGTCAGCCGCCCCCCGAGTCAGCTAATGTCAGCCAATGTCAGCTTGACATGGCCAGCTCGGAAAGGACACAGGCAGCTCGGTCGATGCATTCTTCAACGAGGGTCTAAGCAGCACGCCGCGGGGATGTACCGTCCACTGCTTCCGAGCGCGCTAGATGCACCAGATAGGCTGCGGGAGTATGTTTTTGAAATTGCCAGCTGCATGAGGACAGCGGGCGCCCCCCTGCTAAAAAACAATGAAAAAATAGACCAGAAAATAGTCTGGGGACTATTTTTCGAAAATTGTTTGACCTTTTTGGTGTATTTTTGGGATATGTTTATTTTTTCATCGAAAATCCCCCTGTAGGGGGACACGCCCGACATAAATCTGATGCCGTCCCGCCTGCCCGACGGAACGTCCTGCCCGTTGGGCGTCGTCGTCCTCGTCGCCGCCTTCGACGGCAGTAGCTCCATGTTTTCCCCTGACCCCGGATATCAAGTCGGGCATGTCCTCTACAGGAGTGATAGGGAAACATATGTTGAAAATAGTTAGGGGACGATGCTCCGACTATTTTCGATAATTTCTTAAGTTGTGGCTTGACTTTTTTCTAACATTCGCCTGTAGGAGAACATGCCCGACCTACAGGCGGGGCGCTGACGAAGGAACCCTTTTCGTTGGGGAGGGGCTCCGCGTTCCTTAAGTGTTTCACAGCTTGCCTCAGGTTTTCCTTCTGTTTTCGATAGGAGATCGAAGTTTAACTTATGGAAAAAAGGGGCCTCGTTCCTTATTGAGGGTTCCTTAGGTCAACGCCCCGACTGTAACCCTAACAATGTCCCATCAGCGAGTGAGGCCAGTCTTGAGACTTCGTGCTCCGCCCGCCCGCCTGACGGAACGCTCCGCCCATGGTCGTCGCCGTCGTCGTCATCGTCGTCGTCGCCGCCGCGTTTGTCGGTGGTTGTGATGTGTTTGTCCACCCTTGTCCCGCCAACGAGTGAGGGCTCCATTCAGTGTCCCTCCCGCCCGCCCGACGGAACGTTCCGCCCTCGGCCGTCGTCGTCGTCGTCTTCGTCGCCGTCGGAGGTGATTGTTTCGTATTTTCCGCCAACCTGGTTCCACCAACGAGCGATGGTTACATTTACAATCGGGGCGCTGAGGAAGGAACCCTTTTCGTTTGGGATGGGCTCCGTGTTCCTCAGTTGTTGTACAGTCTACCTTAGATTTTCCTCTGGTTGTCTATGGGGAATCGAATTTAAACTTACGGGAAAAAGGGGCCTCGTTCCTTGATTATCGTTCCTGTGGTCAACGCCCCAACTGTATTTCATGTCCCGCACCTCCGCCTGACTGAACACCCGCCCGTGGCCTTCGTTGTCGCCGTCGACGTCTTCTGCTGGCGGCTAGAGGGGGGGGTCCCAGGTCCGGAGAGGAGGGGGACGGATTCTCGGAAGTGCGGGGGGTCCCGGTTCAAGGGGGGGGGGGGTCGATTTTGCACCAGTGTATTCGGATGCAACTCCTGGGAGGTCACATTCTCATTTTGCCCTGATCCGAGCCGAAATCCAGCTTAATCCGGTTTAATCCCGCTTATCCCGCCAAATCCCGCTTAATCCCGCTTAATCTGGCCTAATCCCGCTGAGTCCGAGGCCAATTCCGGCGTAACAGCTCCCAAATGGGGCTTAATCCTCTTTAATCTTTCCGACGAGAACCTCCCAGTAGTTGCCTCTTAAAGTGTAGCGTCCACAGAAGTCGCTTTCTCAAGAATCGAGAATGCAGAGGGACAGTTTTGTTGCCAGCTTCTGGAATGCTGGTTTCGGGCTTTCGGGCCGCAAAGTCACAACCGGTGACGGCAAGCCAGCCTCTCGGGAAAGGGTCAACAGGCTCCCTGGTGTGGGCAGCCGGTTGCAAGGCCACATCACCGCGGCACGCAGCCGCGGGTCCGACAGCCACCAAGCCGGGTGAGCGACGCAAGCAACGAGGTCGTTTGTGCCGGCTTTGGGGCGCAAGCTGCCCAGCGGCCGCGATGGATCCAGCTAGGGGGCCACATGCGAACCCTACCCCGACCCCCCACGATTTCTGAGGGGGAGGGTGGGGTTCATTTCGCGTGAACCCCACCCTCCCCCCCAGAAATCGTGGGGGGTCCACGTCTCCCATTTACCCTTGGAGTGCCCCAGTCTCCTGGCCGCCAGCGTCCATCCCAGCTGCAGCATCCCGCTGCAGCACGCCGCGCGCTGCAGCATCCCGCCGCGCTGCAGCACGCTCGTCCAGGCAACCCTTGGGGCGCAGGCTGCCCAGCGGCCGGCGTCGTGTCCTGTGGTTTTGGAGGCCATGTTGCCGTCGGAAGAGTCTTGTGTCCTGTCGCGTGTCCTGTGCGCAATGGCGCGCCTGTAGCCCCACCAAAACATGTTCTAAGAACCTTTTGAGGTTCCCAGGAAGTGTTCTTAGAGCATTTCTGGCTGGGAGTCTGTCTTGTTTTATCACATGGGGTTTATGTTCTAAGAATATTGTTTTTGTCCTCGGAACACTTTTAGGTTCTAAGAACATGTCGTGGTAGGACTATAGGAATGCCGGGACAGTCGGTCCCTGCTCAAAGAGGAGGGCTCGGGGGAAGAGAGAGTCACTCTCGATCCCGGTAAGCCTTCAGGTGCGTGCTGAAGCCGCGCAGGAGCAGGACATCCAAGACGAGGTCGAGGCCAAGCCAAGAGAGATGTCACTCGTCGAGGGCCGCCCACTGTTTGCAGCAGTCTGTTCCGTGGGAGACGGCGGCGGGCCCTGGCATCGCCCAGGGCCTCCTCTTTCACTTTCCGTGCCCGTCTTAGATGGCAGATGTGGTCTTCGTCTCTCCTGAGACGGGGATGAGCGGGAACGTCGGCTACGCGTAGGAGTGACCTTTCAGATGGGGTGACCTTTGGTGCGGACCCGCAGTGGTTCCGCCAGCACTGGCTCTCGCGCTTGGACTGCGTTAATTTGGCCGCCCCCGCGGCCCCCTTCAAGCCGCGCGCCAAAGGTCACTCCTGCCTAGGGTCACTCCTGCGTGCAGGCGAGAAAGGAGGGTGAGGCGGAGTAGGAGTAGGAAGAGGAGGAGGAGGAGGAGGAGGAGGAGGAGGAGGAGGAGGAGGAGGAGGAGGAGGAAGAGGGGGAGGAGGGCGAGGAGGAGGAGGAGGAGGAGGAGGAGGAGGAGGAGGAGGAGGAGCGCTCTGGTAATTATATGAATCGGGGCCTCCCGTGAACGCAACTTTTCTCGCTGCACCGCACACTTAGAGATTCGGTGGGGCAGCCTCGAGGCACGGCACGTGCCGCAACGCGCGGAGCGCCAGCGCAAATCGCAAGAGGGCGCGGCTTCGAGACACGACACAGCCAGAGACACTCGCAGCGCCAGTGCAGATCCGAAGGAGGACGGGGAGGAGGAGGAGGAGTAGGAGGAGGAGGAGGATAATGAGACAGGACGGTGCATATCGCCATGGCCTCCGGCCAGTGTCGCCGATCCTGGGCGCTCGGGATGATGATGATGATGATGATGATGATGATGATGAGGATGAGGATGAGGATGATGAGGATGATGATGATGATGATGATGATGATGATGATGATGATGATGATGATGATGATGATGACGATGATGATGATGATGCTGATGATGATGATAGTGGTGATGGTGGTGATGGTGATGGTGATGGTGATAGTGATAGTGATAGTGATGGTGATGATGTTGATGATAATGCTGATGATGCTGATGATGATGGTGTTGATGATGATGATGATGATGATGGCGGTGATGATGATGATAATGCTGATGATGCTGATGATGATGGGGTTGACGATGCTGATGCTGATGCTGATGCTGCTGCTGATGAGGATGAGGGTGGTGATGATGATGACGATACTGATGATGATGATCATGATGGTGGCGATGATGAGCACGATGATGATAATGATGATGATGATGATGATGATGATGATGATGATGATGATGATGATGATGATGATGATGGTGCTGATGATGCTGCTGATGATGATGGTGGTGGTGATTATGAGTATGATGATGATGATGATGATGATGATGATGGTGATGGTGATGATGATGCTGCTGATGATGCTGATGATCATGATGATGCTGATGATGATGCTGATGATCATGATGATGATGCTGATGATGATGATGATGATGATGATGATGATGATGATGATGATGATGATGATGATGATGATGAGGGTGGTGATGCTGATGCTGATGCTGATGCTGATGCTGATGCTGATGCTGATGATGATGATGATGATGATGATGATGATGATGATGATGATGATGATGATGATGATGATGATGATGATGCTGATGATCATGATGATGCTGCTGTTATTGAGCCCTAATATGTTTTGGCTGTGAGCTAAGCGCGGGGTAATATCGGAGGGGGGGTGGCACCGAGCCCCTTGTGCCAGCACAGGGGGGGGGGTGCCAGCACCGGGCCCCCGGTGCGGCAACGGGGGGGAGGTGCTGGCACCGGAGAGGGGTGCTGGCACCGGGGGGGGGGTGGGACCGGCACGGGGGGAGGAGATTGAGAAAGGACTGTGCGTATTTGGCACGCTTGCATCTACGACGCAGAACACGAGTGGGGAGGATGAGGGGGGAGGAGCAAGATGGACCAGGATGAGGATGAATAAGGATTCTGCTGGCGGGCTTGACGATTTTTCTCGAACCGACTTCCCGGGAGAAAGTCAGACGCATCGGTACAGATCGATGTAATTTCATTCAGCCGACACGATTCAAGGGCAATTTTTTTTCGGGGGGGGCTGAGGGTCGGATGCATCGACCCCCAATCGCCCACTGATCGCCGATAGGGGCCCGATGGCTCACTCCGCCCTGGAACCTGCGAGGTCGCCGTCGAGGGCCTATCGCCGATCTGTCGGCGGTGTAGCGCCCCCCCGAGCCGAACGTTGCCCCGCAGCGATGTGTTTGGGTGGCATCGGTGTTACAGTCGGGGCGCTGAAGAAGGAACCCTTTTCGTTTGGGAGGGGCTCCGCGTTCCTTAAGTGTTTCACAGCTTGCCTCAGGTTTTCCTTCTGTTTTCGATCGGAAATCGAAGTTTAACTTACGGAAAAAAAGGGGCCTCGTTCCTTATTAGGGTTCCCTATGTCAACGCCCCGACTGTACCGCGGGCAAGTCCAGAGATACTCCAAACACACCAGCACGGGCCGTGCAAGACCAGGCACGAGTCGCTGGGGGGCAGCCCGAGCCGTTCGGCCCCGGACGAAGCTCGATCCAGGCGCGTGCGATCCTTCGGGCTGGCCCCAAGAGGGGGTCCAGCGCCAAGGGGTTGGTGCAATAAGTTTGGTGCAATAGATTGGTGGGGTTGCAATGCATTTTGTGGCGTGCAACTCACTCCAGGACGCAAACGTATTGTTGGATCTTCGCGTGCAGGGCATTATTTGCAATACAATGCAGTCCAATTCTCCGGCGCAGTACGTGTGCAATACAGTTGCCCCACATCTATTGCACCACCCCCTCCCCCCCCTCTTTTTGTCGACGCACCGACGCATTGTCCTGACGAAATTGCGTTTTCAACTCACGACGTCGATTTGTCGCCTGCCGCTCGCTCGCACGACGCAGGTTTTTTTGTTCTGTGTGCGCGGGGGCTGGTCAATCCTTAGTCATCGCTCTGTTGCCGATGCGCCGTCCGGGCGCCTGGCTTCTCTGTCTCTGTCTGTCTATTGCACCACCCCCTCGGGACCAGGGCTTTCCCAAACCAAACGGGTCTTCCCTAACCAAATTTTGCGGAATCAGACCGCTGGGTCTTCCCAAACCAAACCCGGGTCTTCCCAACGGGACCAGGGTTTTCCCAAACCAAACGGGTCTTCCCTAACCAAATGTTGCGGAATCAGGCCGCCGGGTCTTCCCAAACCGAACCCGGGTCTTCCCAAACCAAACGGGTCTTCCCAAACCAACGCCCCCCGGTCTTCCCAAACCAACCGGGTCTTCCCAAACCAACGTGCCAGGTCTTCCCAAACCAACCGGGTCTTCCCAAACCAACCCCCGGGTTTTCCCAAACCAACCGGGTCTTCCAAACCAACGCCCCCGGGTCTTCCCAAACCAACCGGGTCTTCCCAAAACAACGTGCCGGGTCTTCCCAAACCAACCGGGTCTTCCAAACCAACCCCCGGGTCTTCCAAACCAACCGGGTCTCCCCAAACCACAACGGCCGGGTTTTCCCAAAACAACCGGGTCTTCCCAAACCGCAACGGCCGCGTCTTCCCAAACCAACGGGGTCTTCCCAGACCACCCGGATCTTCCCAAACCAACCGGGTCTTCCCAAACCAACCGCGTCTTCCCGAACCACGAGGCCCGGATTTTCCCAAACCAACCGCGTCTTCCCAAACCAACCGCGTCTTCCCGAACCACGTGGTCCGGGTCTTCCAAACCAACCGGGTCTTCCCAAACCAACCAGGCCTTCCCAAACCAAACCGGGTCTTCCCAAACCCAGACCTGGGCCACCCGAACCAAAGTTTGGTTTGCGAAGACCCGTTTGGTTTGGGAAAGACGCCCCTCCCCCCCTCGGGACCCCTTGTCTGGGCCACCCAGACTCGTGTGACCCGTGCCCCTGACTTTCCAGAGAGCTATTTTTTAGCACGGGAGGCCAAAAAACATAAAGAACGAAGCGAAACAGCCTAAAACCAAGACGTCGAATAGCTCTGGGATAGGTTTTCAAGTCGCGCGCTGTTTTTTAGCCCCCCTGGAAGGTCAGGGGCCGCCCCGAGCAGGTGGCCTGCTGCGACGTGTACATCCGCCGGCCCGACTTCGTCGCCGCCGACGCCCTCCTCGCGCGGAGCGAGGCCTCCGCCCGACCGTGCCTCTCGCCCGCCGTCCTGGCGCCCGCTGTCCCGCCCCTCCCTCGCGCGGCGCCCCGCCCCGCCCCGGCTCCTTCTCCCTCTCCTCCTCCCCTGCCCCCTCCCTCGCCTCCTCTCGTCCTCCCTCTCTCCTCCTCGCTCCCCCCGTCCTCGCGGCTCCTCCACTCCTCCGCGTCCCCCCCCCCCGTCGCCGCCCCCTGTTCCTTCCCCCTATCCCCTCGCCTCGCCTCCCCATCCCTTCCTCCCTGCGCTCGCCCCCTCCCCCGCCCCATCCCTGTGTCAAGCCCGTGCAGAAGCCCCGTCTGTCCAGCTCCGGTGGGTCGAACCGCCGCCACGTGAAGGGCCAGTGGTTGTGGAAGTCGAGTGACGGAGAGGAAGCATGATGCCAAATAATTTCCAGATGGCTAAAACACGTTTCAACCACGTCTTCAATCTGTAAAAACATGTTTGAAACGTTTTTAGGACAGGTCTCACACATCACACTTTAGACACATCACTAATTCGACGGTCGGATTTTTAGAGTGCCCCTTGTCCTGGCATCCACAAGGCCAGTGGTTGGCAGGAGGCCAGGGGGGGGGGGATCGCAGGCTCAGCACCTGGCCCTCCGAGCGCATCTGCCCGCACGGGAGCTGGAGGAGGTGGAGAAGCGGAGGGTCGGCCAGGGGCCGTGGTCGTGGCGGCACGACGCGCTGCGGCCCTCGTGACCAAGCCTCTCCACCTGCGAGGGTCGCCCGAGGGCCACACCAGCTCGAATCGGAGGGCAACAACTATACACCAACACCGATCCTGGCCCAGGATCACCCTGGGCCCAGGATCGGTGTATATGCCTTCTTGCGCAAGGCAGGAGGGCGTATACACCGATCCTTGGCCCAGGGTGATCCTGGCCAGGATCGGTGTTGGTGTATAGTTGGTGCCTTCCTAACACCAGCTCGAACGCCCGCGAGCCGCTGGCGCGCGAAACTACTAAGCGGTTGGGACGCCCCCGCTGGCTTCGGACGGGGCGTGGCCGCGCTCGGGCGGGAGGCAGCACGCAGCCCAGCTGCAGAACAGTCAAGGTACGTTTCACGATCATGAAACAAACAGCTTCGAAACATTGCACGAGCTGCTCCGCTTCTTCCCTGGAGCTCCCGGCTCTCTTGTCGGACGCCACGAGCGCCTTCCGCAAGGGCGCGGCGGCCCTCGCGGGCCGCAGGATCAGCATGGTCCGCATGCGCGTGGCGCGGGCCGCACCGTCTGAAGCTAGACCCCCTGGGCAGGGGACGGGGAGTTGGTGAAGCTTCCCCCCGACAGTGCTCGTGCAGTTACCCAGTCGGGCACACTTCGTGCACCACATCTGGCCGTTCGTATCCAGGAGCGAATGGGAGAAGTGCTGAGTCTTGCGACCGATTCGGAGGGAGGGCTAGGCTTAAGTCGGGCCTGTCCCTCTACAGGAAGAATTTTCAAAAATAGTCAAAATATAAGGTGGGGACGGTTTTTTAAATCTGTTATACACGTTTTTGTTTATTGAATCGCTTCGCTCATTCCACTGGCCCATATTGCGCGCCGTTGTCGACTGACAGAGCGGTCTTTCGCGGTGCAAGCTGCTGGGGCGGCGTTTTTTTGTTGGTTTGTTGTCATGTTTGTTTCTTTTTTTGTGTGGTGTGTATTTTTTGTGTGTGTGTATATATATATATATCTATATATGTATATCAGATTTTGCGTTCGGCATGTGGGGGGTAAAGCAGCTCCTGTGGAGCAGCTTCGTGGCGATTTGTTTGGAGCGTCTGGGGAGGTGTCGGGACGATCGTTGTTGTTCACTTGGCTTGTAAGTGTTTGCCGCTTTGCGCGGCTGCAGGTGGCTTCGTGGGGGGGTCGATTCACCAGCACGGCATACCAGCGTCGCGGGCCGTCTGGAAGCGTTTGGCCTATGGGGGGGCTCTTTCGGGAGGCCTCTTGGTGGACCTTTTGGGGAGTCTTAAACGCGTCGGGTCGTTGGCACTTGCTTGGGGGCCTTTGGGGGGCCTCCTGGGGCTGCTTGGGGGCTGCTTGGGGGCCTCCCGAGGGCCTGTTGGGGGCCTCTTGGGGCCTCTTAGGAGGGGCCTCTTGGGGACTCCTGGGTGCTTCTTAGGGCCGAGGGCTCGAAATGTTGTTTCGTTTTCCCCCCCGGGACCTCTCTTGGGGCGTTCTTGGGGCCTTCTTGGGCTGTCTTGGAGGCCTCTTGGGCCGTCTTGGAGCCCCCTTGAGCTGTCTTGGGGCCCTCTTGGGGGCCTTTGGGGCCCTCTTTGGGCGGTCTTGGGGGCCTCTTGGGCCGTCTTGGGGTGTCGGGAAGCCGAAAAAAGGTAGAAGCGCCAGAATCTCTCCCAAACCAAAGGAAAAATAATGAATGTTGCCTCTTGGGGCCCTCTTGAGAGTGCTCTCGGAGGGCTCTTGGGCCGTCTGGGGGCCATCTTGGGCGTCTTGGAGCGATCCTGTGGCATCTCGGAGCTCTCTTGTATCATCTTGAGGGGCTCTTGGCGGCCTCTTGGCCTTTCTTCGGGCTCTCTGGACGGCCTCGAGGGCGGCGCCCAGAAGGAAAACCATCTCTGATCCGAGTCTCCCAGGACCTGCCCGGGTTACTTGTCGTCCAGGGACCCCCCGGGGCCGTCCCGCGCGCGCGAAATAGAATTATTGTAAAGCAGTTACCGGAGATCTTAGCACGCCTCTGGCCCGTTGGGCCGGCGATTTTTTTTTGTTCTCCAAACTCCGCGAAAACTAAGCAGAGGAAGGGATCGGGAGTGGAACATCTGCCATAGAGTGTAAAAACCTTGCCCCAGGGGTCCCTGGGCCACGGCACACTGGGTGCCAGTGAAATTCGAGACCTCCCAGATGGGGTCGGAGCAGATGGGGTCGGAGGATCGCGCCGCATCGCCGATGCATCGCCGACGCCTCGTCGATGCATCGCCGACGTCGGCGACGCGTCGGCGACGTCGGCGTGGAGAAGAGCGGCCTCCGCATCGAGCCGCATCGTCGATGCATCGGCGATGCCGCGCGACCCTCCGACCCCATCTGCTCGGACCCCATCTAGGAGGCCTAGGGAAATACCCTGAGTTCCCCCTCCATCCCCAGGGGCCTCCCCAGAGCCTCCCCGCAGCTTCCCTGGAGTTTCCCGGCATGTTCCACGGAGGTCACCGACGGGTCCAGGTGGCTTCCAGACGGCCGGCCCAAGCGGCCCCCAAGACGCCCCAAGACGGCTCCAAGAGGACCTCAACGAGGACGCGAAGCGGCAATCATCGTCCCATTTGTTTTGGGAAGCGCGCATTTCTAGCACATTCTCTGTTTCAATTGCACAGCGACCAAGAGGTCTCCAAGAAAGCCCCAAGACGGCCGAAGAGGTCCCCAAGAGGGCCCCAAGTCGGCCCAAGAGGGCCCCAAGCCGGCCCAAGCGGCGAGGTGCTCCTCGTCGCTGCACCCACCCCTCGTCGTACCGCCTCATCCCCATCCTCGTCGCACTCCTGCTCCCCATCCCCTCACAATCCTCCCCATCCTGCCCCATCCACCCGTCCTCCTCATCCCCCCCATCCTCCACTGCTCCTCGATCCCCGCACCCTTCCCACCACGGCGAGGTGCTCTTTGTCGGCTGCCCCCACCGCGAGTATCGCGGCCTGGCGCAGCGGCCAGGGCAGTTCGTCTTCGACTGCTGGGGCGGCTGGGGCGCCACCCCGCACGCGGGGCCGCCGGTGACGCCCGGGAGCCTCCGCCGCGCGGCGCCTGCCCTCTCCGAGGACCGAGGGCCGAGGCGCTCGGAGGCCTGCCATCGGGCCTGCCGGAGAGGTTCTCTCAGAGGCCTTCGGGGGGGGCGGGGGGGGGCGGGGGTGGCTTCCAGGGACTCCTTGGAGACCACGGCGGACTCGGGGACCTCCAGAGATCTCTCTGCGGTGAGCTCTGGAGGGACCTCCCTCACTCGTCCCCGCCTGGTCCTCCCCCTCCTCTCCGTTCCTCCCCTTCCCCCTTACCTCCCCTCTCCCCTCCCCTCCGCCTTCCTCCTCACCCGTTTTGTGCTCCTTTCTATGCTTGGTCTCTCCCCTCCTCACCCTCCTCCGCCCTCCGCCACCCTAATCCTCCCGTGCCCAGTGCTCGTGGACAGACGGCAGTCCGGTCAGAGTTTCACAGGGGTAGTCTTAAGTCGGGCCTGACCCTCTACAGGAGGAATGTTTAAAAATCGTCAGAAATAGTTAGGGAACGACGTTTTGGGCTACTTTTATGTATTTTCATTATGTTTGAACATTTGTTCCCCCAAATACGCTTGTAGGAGGACATGCCCGACCTAAGGATAGTCATCTCTTTTGCAGTATGAACGTGATCTCGCCCTTGCTTGTGCCCTCTTTCTCTCTTTTTCTCTGCTTTTCGGGGTTTACGTTTGTTCGGGTCTATCCACGAAGGTGCATGCTGCATTACCTGGCGGGCGCCGGCTGTTCTACCTATGCTCCCCGCTGTCTCTATTTGCCGCCTTGGCTGCTGCGCCCGCCAGGTAGTACTTGCGCCGAGGCGCCGAACTGCAATTCAATAGCGCCACATGCGTAAACGTAACGTCTGGTCATCGCAACAAAGCAAGAGGTATGAGCAGGAGGAGGAGGAGGAGGAGGAGGAGGAGGAGGAGGAGGAGGAGGAAGATGAGGAGGACGATGAGGAGGAGGAGAGAGGGGAGGAGAGAGCAGGAGGAGAAAAAGGAGGAGGAGGAGGAGGAGGCGGAGGAGGAGGAGGAGGAGGAGGAGGAGGAGGAGGAGGGGGCCAAAGAGGAGGAGGAGGAGGAGGAGAGGAGGAGGAGGAGGAGGAGAGGAGGAGGAGGAGAGGAGGAGGAGGAGGAGGAGGAGGAGGAGGAGGAGGAGATAAAGAAGAGGAGGGGAGGGGGAGGAGGCGGAGGAGGAGGAGGAGGTGAGGAGGAGGAGGAGAGTAGGAGCAGGACGAGGAGGCGAAGGGGGAGGAGGAGGGAGGGAGGAGGAAGGAGGAGGAGGAGGAGGGAGGAGGAGGAGCAGGAGGAGGGGGAAGAGGAGGAGGAGGAGGAGGAGGACGAGGAGGAGGATGAGGAGGAGGTGCAGGAGGAGGAGGAGGAGGAAGAGGAAGAAGACGAATCATAATAATAATGATAACACTAAGAATAATAAGCATACTAATAATACTAATAATAATACTAATAATAATACTAAGCATCATAATACTAATAATACTAATAATAGTAATAATAGTATTACTAGTACTACTAGTAGTAGTAGTAGTAGTAGTAGTAGTAGTAGTAGTAGTAGTAGTAGTAGTAGTAGTAGTAGTAGTAGTAGTAGTAGTAGTAGTAGTAGTAGTAGTAGTAGTAGTAGTAGTAGTAGTAGTAGTAGTAGTAGTAGTAGTAGTAGTAGTAGTAGTAGTAGTAGTAGTAGTAGTAGTAGTAGTAGTAGTAGTAGTAGTAATCCTAATCATAATAATAATAATAAAAGTAATAATAATACTAATAGTACGAATATTAATAATACTAATAGTAATAATAAGAGTAATAGTAATACTAATACTAATCATACTATTAGGAATACTATTACTAATAATAAGAATAATACTAAGAAGAAGAATAATCATAATACTAAGAATAGTAATAATAATAATAAGAGTAATAATAAGAAGAATACGAATAATAAGAATAAGAATAATAATACTAATAATAATAAGAATTAGAAGAAGAAGAGGAGAAGGAGGAGGAGGAGGAGGAGGGAGGGGGAGGAGGAGGGGGGGAGGAGGAGGTGGAGGTGGAGGGGGAGGAGCAGGAGGAGGAGGAGGAGGAAGAGGACGAGAAGGCAGAGGAGGAGGAGGAGGAGGAGGAGTAGGAGGAGGAGAAGTCACAGCGCTTGGTTTGAGGCGAGCGCCCAGCGCAGGAGGGTTGCAGAACAGAGGCAGCAGGCACGAGGTGCGGGGCAGGGATGAGGGAGGCGGGGAGGCGGAGGGGACGAGGCGGCCACGGGCCACGGTGGTCCTGTGCAGAGCGGGAACCAGGCGCAGGAGGGGCTGGCCGCGGCCGCCGCGGTGCGGGGCCGCCGTGCTGGAACATCCGTGCCATCTGCCGCCGCATGCTGCCGCGGACGCGGCGTGCTCCACCGCCATGGGCCATGCCTCTTGCTCGCTCCGCTCCCCCCCCCTCCCGTCCCTCCAGGGCAACATGGTTTTTCGACAGGGTGGCTGCGCGCACTGATTCCTGTGATCCGGCTGCTCTCTGCAGCCGTCGCCAGCAGGTCGCACACTGCTGGTGATGACGTCTTTGTTGTGGTGCCGTCGACGCCACACCTTCTTCCGGCCCTCCACAACATCTGCTTTCCCTCCTCACACCTTCTCTTCCGCAGCCCTCGCTCCACTCGCACCTCTGCTTTCCTGTTGCCCTCGCCCCCCCTCTCTCTCATTCCCTACCTAGGCTCTGCCTAGAAGGGTTCTTACTCGGTGTGCTTAAAGGACCGGGCAGTGAAACCCGCCCCGCGGTTCCCCCAGTTACGTCCCCTTAGCTTAGCGTTGCTTATCTCATCTTAGCTTAACTTATTTCATCTTAGCTTAGCTTAGGATCATCTTAGCTCAGGCTTATCTTAGCTAGCTTACCTTCATCTTAGCTTCGCTGAGCTGTAGCATAGCAGAGCACAGCATAGCACAGCATAGCATAGCATAGCGTAGCATAGCGTAGCATAGCACAGCGCAGCATCGCATACCATAGCATAGCCCAGCATAGCATAGCATAGCGCAGCATAGCATATCATACCATAGCATAGCATAGCGCAGCACAACACAGCACAGCATAGCACAGCGCAGCATGGCATAACATAGCATAGCATAGCATAGCACATCGCAGCACAGCATAGCGCAGCTTAGCATATCATATCATAGCATATCATAGCTTATCATAGCACAGCGCAGCATGACATATCATATCATAACACATCATATCATAGCATAGCGCAGCATAGCGCAGCATAACATAGCATAGCATAACATAGCATATCATAGCATAGCATAGCGCAGCATATCATGGCATAACATAGCATGGCATAGCAACTAATGCTGCTTTCCTAGGGGCTCCAACTTCTAGGTAGGGTCGCACTGGGGTAATGTGTTGCTTCTTTCTGTCCCTCTCTCTCTCTCTCGCTCTCCATCTCTCTCGCTTATTTGTTTGTGTTTGTTTCTCTCTCGCTCTCTTTCCACCTCTCTTTTTCACCCCCTGATTTCTCTGACAAGTTTTCGTTCGCACTCTCAGTACCATCATCAATGTAAATGTGTTATCAGTCTTTCTATCCCCCCATTTGTTGTTGCCGTTACCTCTCTCACTCTTCATATTTCTATAGCACTCTCCCCATATGCATATATGTGTATGCATGTGTCTGTGTGCCTCTCTCTCTCTGATTTCCCTCTCTGTCTTTTCTTGTACGTGTTCATCAACGGTCTCTCGCTCCTTTCCCTATCTTTTCCAGCTCGCTACCTGTTCTGGCGTCGGCGCCCTCAGGAGACGTACGGCAGCGATTGGGAGTGGAGATTTATCGCTGGATTGACGGCTCTCGGAGAAAAGTCAAGCCTCGACTCTACCGTACTCGCAGGAGGATGGCGATTATATAGGCAGACAGTGAACAGGAATTTCAATGCGATGCACGCCCCCAACCACTGCTCGCACTGAAGTGGTATTTTGTCTTTCTTCTAAGAATGTGGATCTGCGTGTCGCACTTTTGTTGCCGAAATCGCCGCCCTCGTTGGTGCGCGAGGCCTTGAGCATCCTCCGCCTTTTGCATCATCCTGGGCACGCGCGAACGCAAGCGCGCACCCACTCACCCGCGCACCCACGCACCCGCGCAGCCACGCGCACGCACACACATACACACACACGCACACACGCAAGCACCCGCACGCACGCACGCACGCTCGCACATCCACCCACTCACCCACCCGCCCACCCACGCACGCACGCACGCACGCACGCGCACACGCACACGCACACGCACACGCACACGCACATGCACACGCGCACGCGCACGCGCACGCACACGCACACGAGCACGCACACACATTAACACAAACACGCACACACACGCACACACATTCACACACACACACACACACACGTGCACGCGCACGCGCACGCACGCGCGCGCACGCGCACACGCACGCACGCACACGCACACGCACACGCGCACCCGCATTCGCACCGGCACCGGCACCAGAGACGCACCCGCACCGCACCCGCACACACACCACACACGCACACGCACATGCACACGCGCACGCGCACGCGCACGCACACGCACACGAACACGCACACACACATTCACACACACACACACACACGCACACACACATTCACACACACACACACACACGCGCACACACACGTGCACGCGCACGCGCACGCACGCGCACACGCACATGCACACGCACACGCACACGCACACGCGCACCCGCACCCGCACCGGCACCGGCACCGGCACCCGCACACGCACCCGCACCCGCACCCGCACACACACACACGCACGCGTACCCGCACACGCACACGAGCACGCACACGCACACGCACCCGCACCCGCACACGCACGCGCACACGCACACGCACACGTACACGCACGCACACGCACGCGCACGCGCACACGCACACGCACACGCACATGCACACGCACATGCACATTCACATGCACACGCACACGCACACGCACGCGCACACGCGCATGCACACTCACACGCACACGCACACGCAGCCACACACATGCACACATTTACAACACACAAACAAAAACCACAAACAAACAAACACACGAAACACAGACACACGCACACACGCAAAAACTCACACACCCACACACCCACACACCCACACACGCACGCGCACACGCGCACGGACACGCACACGCACACGCACACGCACGCGCACCCGCACACGCACACGCGCGCGCACACGCACGCGCACGCGCACACGCACACGCACACGCACGAGTACACACACACGCACGCGCACGTGCACGCGCACGCGTACGCGCACACGCACACGCAAACGCACACGCACTCGCACACGCACGCGCACGCGCACACGCACGCGCGCACGCACACGCACACGCACTCGCGCACGCACACGCACACGCGCACGCGCACGCACACGCACACGCACATGCGCATGCACACGAACACGCACACGCACACGCACGCGCACACGCACACGCGCACACACATACACACAGCGACACACACACGCACACATTCACAAAACACAGACAAAAACAACAAACAAACAAACACACGAAACACAGACACACACACACACGCACACACGCACACACGCACACATGCCACTCACCCACACACCCACACACCCGCACACGCTCACGCACCCGCACACGCACGCGCACACGCACACGCACCCGCACCCGCACCCGCACGCGCACCCGAGCACACACACGCGCACGCACACGCACGCGGACACGCACACGCACATGCGCATGCACACGAACACGCACACGCACACGCACGCTCACACACACCCACTCACATGCACACGCGCACGCACATGCACACGCATATACACGCACACGCACACGCACTCGCATACGCACACGCACACGCACACGCACGCGCACACGCACACGCACACGCACGTGCATATGCACATGCACATGCACGCGCATACGCGCACGCACACGCACGCGCACATGCGCACGCGCCCGCGCCCGCGCCCACGTGCATACGCACACGCGTGCACGCACGCGCACACGCTTACGCACGCGCGCGCGAACACGCACGCGCACACGCACGTGCACGCGCTCAGGCACGCGCACACACACAGACACACACACACACACGCGCACCTACACGCATACACACACACTCACACACACACACACGCGGACGCACACACACACACACGGACGCACACGCGGACGCACACAAACACACACGCACACACGGCGCACGCTCCCACGCGGACGCACACACACACACACACACTTACACGCACGCGCACACGCGCACGCACGCGCCCGCGCACGCGCGCAAGCACACACGCACATACACATATTCACGCACGCGCACAGGCGCACGCGCGCACGCACACGCACACGCACGCGCGCGCACACGCACACGCGCGCGCCCACTCGCACGCGCGCGCGCGCACGGGGACGCGCGCACACGCACACGCACGCGCACATGCACGATGCACGCGTTCGCGCACCAGCGCACATGCACGCGCACACGTGCACGCGCACGTGCACGCGCGCGCGCACACGCACGCGCGCGCACGCGCATGCCCAAACGCACACGCACGCGCACACGTACGCGCACACGCGCGCCCACACGCGCACTCACGCGCCCGCGCACGCGCCCTCGCACACGCACGCGCGCACGCGCACGCACGCGCACGCGCGCGCGCACTCGCACGCGCACACGCACGCTCACACGCGCACGCACGCGCACGCGCGCACGCGCACGCGCGCGCGCGCGCTCACGCGCACGCGGGCGCGCACACGTACACGTACGCGCACGCGCGCGCACACGCACGCGCACAGGAACACGCACACGCGCACGCACACGCACGCGCAGGCACGCACGCACGCGCGCGCGCTCACACGCACACGCACGCGCACACGCACACGCACACGCGCGCACGTGCACGCGCGCGCGTGCGCGCTCGCACTCGCGCGCACGCACAGGCGCCCTCGCGCACGCACGCACGCCCGCACATGCCCACACACACACGCACGCGCACGCACACGCACACACACACACATGCACACACGCGCACACACACAAACACGCACGCACGCACGCACTCGCACACGCGCGCACACATGCGCGAACACACACACACACACACACGCACGCACGCACGCACGTACACACACACACACACGCACGCGCAAACGCACACGCGCACGCTCACGCGCACGCACACGCTCGCGCACGCGCACGCGCATACGCACACGCACTCGCACGCGCACACGTACGCTCACGCGCACACGCACACGCACACGCACACACATATTCACACACACGCATTTGCACGCGCACGCGCACGCGCACTCGCACACGCACGCGCACGCGCGCAAGCTCGCGCACGCGCACTCGCACGCGCACTCTCATGCGCGCACGCACGCGCACAGTCACGCGCACACGATGACGCACATGCACACGCACACGCACGCGCACGCGCGCATGGACACTCACACGCACACGCACGCGCACGCGCACGCGCGCATACACACGCACACGCACGCGCACGCGCACGCGCACGCCCACACACCCACACACGCACACACACACACACACGCACACACACACACACGCCCACACGCCCACACGCACACGCACGCTCACACGCACGCGCACACGCTCACGCACATGCACACGCACACGCACACGCGCGCACACACGCACACGCACACGCACACACGCAAACGCGCACAGACGCACACACGCACACACGCACACAAACCCACGCAAACACGCACATGCGCTCACCCGCACGCGTCGCACACACGCGCGCGCACACGCGCACATGCGCATCCAGCCGCACTCGCACACGTATGCGCACACGCTCGCGCACGAGCGCACGCGCACGCACACGCTCACGCACACGCGCACGCGCACGTGCACATTCACGAGCAAGTGCACGCGCGCGCGCACGCGCACGCTCACGCGCACACGCACGCGCACTTGTACGCGCACGCGCGCGCGCACGCGCACGCGCACGCGCACGCGCACACGCACACGCCCACGCCCACACACAAACACAATGATACACACACAGTTGTACACCATCGCGCGCGCACATTTTGGTCGTCACGGCCGCCCGCGCGGCGACGAGGCGGAGCACGCACACATCTACACGATACACAGCACAGACCGCACATCACACAACCCACAGCACAACACACACAAAAACGCAACACTACACAGCGCACAACACGCAACACAACACACACAACACACAGCGCACAGCACACAACACAACACACACAACGCAACACACACAGCACACACACACACCGCACACACAACACCAAACACAACACATAGCACACGACACACAACACACAACACGCACAACATAGACATACAGCACACAACGCACAAGACACAACACACAACACACAACGCACAACACGCTACGCACTACACGCAGCACACCACAGACAACCTCCGGACACCGCTTCCTTTGCTTTCTCTTGAAACATTTTGGTTCTCTTTTATGGTTCTCGCTTGGACACCGTGGGCCCGCTGTCCACGTGCGTCGAGCGCAGAAGACGGGGGGCCCGCGATGCTGGGGGGCATTCGCTCTGGAAGCGACGGCCGCTTTTGTTCCTGCGATCCTGGCGCGTTTTTTGTTTTGTTTTGTCCGTTGCTCGATTCCGTTGCGATTGCAAAAAACGAAAGATTGCAAAAAAAACCAGGATTGCAAAAAAAACTTTGAACGAAGGATTGCAAAAAAACCTTTCGTCAATCCTTCGTTTTGCGTTTTTTTTTTTTGTTTGCAATCCTTCGTTAAATGAGGTTTTTTTTTGCAATCCTTCGTTGCAAT